AATATTGGACCTTCATTATTCAGAATTTTTGTAAGTATTTTTATACCAATATAAATTTTCTAGTATTAATATGATTGTATTAATTTATTATTATTTTATGTATTACCTATTATTATTTAATAATAATAATTTTAATTTATGTATTAGGAGTAATTTTATTTTATTAATTTATTATGTTTTTATGATTTGGACAGCATTTTGTGTTCGGTTAAACAATTTGTTGAATCAAATTTATAAAATATTTGCCGGCTTGTGGACGTGGCGGTGTAAATGTGCGAGTCCGGGCCTTCATTATGCTCACTCAATGTATCAAATTGTACGTCTCACTTCAACAAATGTAAGCGATACTTTGATCTCTGTCAAATGCAAAACTGTAGCACCTCTCACTTTCGTGCACACAACCCCCATATTTTTTCTCTTTCTTCCAGTCAACAAGACGGCGTCTGTCCTTTGTCCGCATTCGAAATCGGTGTGAATTCGTCTCTGTCGAACGTTTTATAAAAGTCGGACCCCAGCAAGGGTCACATCTGTCCCTTTCTATCGCCCATTATAAGGCGACAAATCACATCGCTCTCTTTCATTCACCGTACCTATTTATGCTCCATAAAAACTACCCTCCTTCAGCAGCAGGAGCGGGGGTGCTAATATCGGCCGAACGAAAAAGTTTCAAATTCAGTCCAACACCGGCGACCAAAAGTGCAGCAACGTTTTTAAAAATAGAGTGTGTGGTTCGTGAGTGTCGTGTCGTGTACTCATGCATTTGCCCATCAACGCCCCACAACCGTCGATCATGGACATGTACACCAGCTTGCAAGAGACCCTCCAGGAGTACCATGGGGAGTTGGTACAGACCGGCAGTCCGGCGGTGCTCTGCAGCGTTTTGCCCTCGCATTGGAGAAGCAACAAGAGTCTGCCCATCGCCTTCAAGGTGGTGGCCCTCGACGAGGTCCGCGATGGTACCACGGTGACCCTCAAAGCAGGCAACGACGAGAATTATTGTGCCGAATTGAGGAATTGCACCGCTGTGATGAAAAACCAAGTGGCGAAATTCAACGATTTGAGGTTCGTGGGGAGAAGTGGACGCGGGAAGAGTTTCACCCTGACCATCACCATCAGCTCCGAGCCTTACTATCAAATCGCAACATACAATAAAGCCATCAAAGTGACCGTAGATGGGCCTCGGGAACCCAGGACCAAGTCGAGTAAGTATCAAACCGTGACAAACATTCGATGTTTAATAAACAGCCATAATCGCGTAAAACCTTCCATCAACATATGGCTTAGGTAAACAAATAAAACTAGTAACGACTTTCTTGGTTTGTCGGCATATTAAGTATAGTCAACAACATAAAACTTTTTATGTTTATCGCAATCGAATTCAAACATTTAAATCAGTTTTATAGGGCATATGCTACACATTCGGGTAAATTTAGTAGAGGAATAAAGCCAAGAATAAAACCGTTGTATAAACACCCCCCGCGTGTTGATTGCGAAAGCGATGTTTACTAACTGAAAATTTACGATTTTTTTACAGATTACCAATATGGGTACGGGTTGCCCGGAATGCCTGCTGGATTCAATCCCTTTTTGTTGAATCCGGGATGGCTGGATGCTGCATACATGACTTATACGTGGCCGGATTATTTCAGGACCAGAACGAATGTGCCCACACAAACTAATTTACATGCCTCACTTATTAAAGGTAAGGAAAAAATAACGAATCTGTTGCACTACTAAGAATTTCAGTTTATTATAAACACATTCATTAACATATTGATTATATAACACCCAGTATAACAAGGGCCTCAAGCACTATTCATAAGTCTTGAAGCTGTAAAATATTATTTCCAAAATACATATCTAAATATTATAAGAAGTATACATACAAATAATTTTGAAAACGCACTTCAATATATATTTATTAAAATCTAACATTTTACATGTACTTTGAGTTTCAACGTTAAACTTGAGAGACCCAAAAATAAAAAAAATTGTTAGTATTTTCACTTGAAAAAAGTGTGTTTTTTTTTAAATCAATTATTTTAACTCAAGTCTAAAATCGCCTCACACACCTATATTTTGAAACATACTATACCTATATGAAAAGCCTTTTTACAAACAGAACAATTTTCAAAAATTAGAAATATATTACAGAAAATAAGGAACAGTTATTCTGAGAATCATTCATGCCACTTTCAAAACAAATTTTAAGTTTTCAAAATGAATTTATAAATTTTCACCACAAATAAAAGGCAGCTTTTTTGTTAATCGGTGACCATCAACGCTCTCCTTTATTAATCAATCTTAGGCCAGGATTCTAGTACGATTTAGCTTCAGTTAAACTTAGTTCCAGAATTGCTTTGGGAGCACCAATCAGATTAGCGCTACTTTAGTAATTATTAAAATGATAAAATTTTACTGAAATTATATCCCATAAACCGGACCTATAAGTAACAAACAAATTTAATTTTAAATCAATGTGTTTACAAAAAGAATTTTAATTATTACAGATGATAATCTGTAATCATTTAGTATGAGGTGTGAAAGCACCTGTCTGTCAAATTCTCTTTTTATTTACGAAATTTGATATAAATCTGTATTAGATTGTGTAATATGTACCGTGCGATCAAAAAAAAAATAAATAAATTAGAGTAGGCGTCGATTAAATTCTACAATTCTACACAAACTGAAAGTGAAAATGGCCATTCACCGTTTTCGTCTTATACAGCAAGTCAGCAATAAAAATTTTCTGCTCTAAAGTGAACATTATTTCACTCAAAAGGTATAAAACGCAAACTTGTCAAAGTTTCCACTGACACTTGATGTCAAAAATCAGGATTGCCATCTGAAGGACTTTAATCACCGCCTACTCTAATTTATTATTTTTTTTTGATCGCACGGTACTTAAATACTACAACAGGTTGTCAGACTCGTGTTAAGATTATAAGAACATAAAAGTAAATAGTACATAGGTAGCACCGTTGTAACATTTGATATAACCCACCAATATAAAATGACTTTTTTTTTAAATTGTCTTTATATTCTATGGTCTTTATTGGACATTTTATTGTCTGCACAACTGTCAGAATTGAAAAATCAAAAATTTATAAAAAATTTCAATTTAAATCTGATGGCCTTGGAGACATATTTCACTGGTTAATAAGAAAACCGAATGGGCGGGGCAGATAAAAAGTAATTGCGACTCCAGTATAAGTAAATTTTGAAATAATATTATTTTTATAATTATGTTAATTGACGAAAATTGGTTTTCAAATTTGATTTCCAACCTGTCTAACCCTTTATCCTTGTTGCAGGTGCTACTCAACTGCCCCCCACTAACGGCGAGTTCTACCTCCCCCCTCAGCCCCAATTTCACCCGCCGCACAACTTCCTCCCCCCGAACGGCATCCTCCCTCAACTCTCCCTCAGCGACTCTCCACTAATGCGCCCTTCGATCGGCCCCATGGACCAACTAAGTCTTCGGATATCCCCTGTGTCCAACAGTCAAAGTCCCACCGCTCAAGAGACAAAAATTCACTCAACTGTCGATCACTCCACTTCGGAAAACTCGGACAATGAAGATATTGATGTGGTCAAATCAGCTTTCGTCCCTATCAAACCTGCCAACCTTATTTTACAAGAAGTGCAACCTGACTCCACTGTGCAAGACAAGGAGTTGAAGAAAATCGAGTTGAAAGCTCCAAGTTCGAGGAGTATCAAGAATTTGGCCGAAGAGAAGAGCCCAAATACGAAAATTCATCACCAACAGGAAATTACAGCGACGAAAAGTGTGTGGAGACCGTATTAGGGAAAGGGTACTTTGGAGTAGTTCTTCGTTAGATGCAATATTGTATAAAAGTGTGTAAATAAACTTTAATTTATTGTAAATATGTACAGTGCGAGAAAGCGTGTAAATTGTGTTAGTTCTTGGAGATTTTAAAAGAGTACTGCAAATGTGATAGCAAGTACTTATAGGTACTAGAGACTTTAGATATTTTTGTACAAAACAACATGCTCCTTTATAAAAATCTAGCAAATACTAAAATAAACCGATTATTGCTATAGACACCTCTTTTATTTTTTACCCCTAAATCTAAAATAGAAGAAAATTGATTTTAGTACTGCTATAGCTATTTTACAAAATAGACGTTTTAGGAGAAAAAAGTATGTAAAGTGAGATATTGATTAGAGACCATGAAGAAGACGTACTTTTTGTTACTTTTGAAGGACTTTTTTTTGGTGTGGGTTCTGCGCTTTAAATTGTGTATTTTTGGCCAAAATTGTTTTTTTAAACACGATAGTGGTGCTATTGTTTGTTCGTTTCGTCGTCTCATTGTGTAGAGGGTTGTGATAAATCAATATTAGGGCATAAATCGTAGATCTCACCCTATATATTTAGCTAAGTCGGTACAATAGGGCGAGTAACAGCTGTGATTCCTCGTGTATGAGTCGATCGGGTTCGTATTTGCCCCCCTGAGTCCGCGTATGATTAATGGGGGCTGTCGGCGAGTGTGTTTATGTCGCAGCCCTTTTATGCGTTCACAGTTCGACGCACACGTATCAAAACTTTGCAGCGGGGTCTCTCCAACCGCCACTTTTCATTAAAACACTCCACTGAAAAAGATTTTTTTCCTTGGCCGTGGAAAAAATCGGTTGATTGGTCGCGTGGTCACATGTGTGTGCGATCCGTCACATTTCATCGAATTTCATGGACGGATGGCTCTTTTGTACGAGCCCTGATCGGGGGTGCGACCCGTCACACGTTGTGGACCTCGTTACATGGCCTACTGTGTCACACAGTCCACCTATAGATGAAACGAGCTTCGAGCAAATGCGAAATTTACGCCGTCATAAAACGGGCTCCGGGAAATTATTTTACAATGTTGGGGGTTATCGATTTTATTACTAGTTTTCAAATCTAGGAGACGCAATTTTGACCAAGTTTTCGCTAAATTGATGCCAGATTTATTATATAACATGGAAGTGCAAGAGGCTTGCCAAGATATTTGGGAACTGGACCAAAACGCAAAACCACCACAAGGCGGCGATGCCGTGTTTTATGAGCCGCAAACATTTCATTGCGTTTTTAAACAAATTCACTAATAATAAATTGATTTAACCCCAGTAAACACAAAAAATCAGAAACGCTTTTCTAAAATAATTATGTAAAAGAAGAGCAAAAAAAATATAAAAGAAAAGAAATTTTTTATTCACAATCTGAATGGAGTTTTTTAATCTTTTAAAAAAGTTGTTTTTATTTTTGACCATAGATTTAAATCTAAAAAATTAGAAAAACATTTCATCAATTTTTATTTCGAAAATGTCTGTAAAATCATGGTTTTCTTGGTTTTCTAAAGGAACACTATGCGATCGGTTAAAATGCTCTATAACGAGTAGTTTTTGATATAATGAGCTATATTTTAAAGATTTTTGAGTATTCTGTATATCAAAATATCACAATATCTGATATTTATGCAATATAGGTATATCAGTCTCACATTTTCATGTAGATTACTTGTTTAAAAAAATCTTTTAGGTTGAAAACATTTTGTACAATTAACAAAAAATCCAAAAATAAAATATATTTCAGGATGTCAGAACTTGCGCCAGAAAAAAAAGTGCAAGATTTTAAATCCCATAACGAAATTTTTGTAGAAAGAATTTTTTTAACATTTTTTTCATGTTCCTGTTATCTTACCTTACATGGGGCATTTTTCTGTGGGGCGCGAGTTTTGGCTCATCCTGTATATAAAAAATGAAACATAATTTTTTAAGTCTCGGCAGTGAAATGCCGTCGTCGGATTTAGAATCTGTTGATAAATAGATAAATAAATTGCCAGTCCGATTTAAATCCGCATTCCCTTGCTTACGTCGAATTTTCTTATTCAAAAATTTGAATAGAAATTTTAGGTTAGTTTTTTGTGTACAGTTACACATTTTATTTTGATATTTATCACGATATAAATCAAAGAATAAATATCGTTGATATTTATCATGATATTTTTGGCGAAAAACTAAAAACGTTTCTTTAGCTGTAACAATGGTAAGTCCGGGGGCGATAGACCACATTTTGAAAAACCTGCTGTAAAATTATGATCTTTATTTTAATTCAAATTCAAAAAAACATATTTTTATAGCATAAACTTTAGGACAACTTATGAATGTTTCAAAATTAAACACTTTCTTTTAAATACATAATTGTACATACAGATATTGTAGGGTTGAGATGGACCACTAATAGTTTCTAATTATTATTCTTTTCTTAACAATGTTTTCAATATTTGTTGACACAAATCTGTCTCTAACCATTATTATCTATATTATTGGTGAATTCAATTCACTAATTTTGAAAATGTTGATTTTTGTGTGATAATTGATAAATGTCGTAGTAGCTTTGTTAATCTCTATTTTTTTAATATTTAGGTACTGCAATTATAGTCTTTTTTTTACAGCCCATTTCTCTGTAGTTAGCACACTTTTTTCTAATGTAAATTGTAAGCATGCTTGCTCTAAAAATACATAAACATTTTCAATAAAGGTGGTCCATCTTTCACCGATGCGGAAAGATAGATAAAGAGAGATCAATTACTAAATTACATCTGATCAAGTTTGAATATAGAACACTGTTTTTACGTTATAATTTGTGTTAAACATGATGTTAGTACATTTTTGTATAGGTAATAAGTTTAAACTTGCCACCGTTGCACTGAGACGTTTTTATGTGCAATATACTAATTTTGTTTGATCAAATTTTTGCGAAAATTACTTACAAACATTAATATTAACATTTTGCTATGAGCGACTTACTCTAATTTCGATCGACTCCAAATTTTTGCAGTTCGAGAAATAATTAAAAGCAGATTGTGCTATTTTTTGTTTTTTTCTATGAGACATAGTTTCCAATAACTATATAGTTTAACGTTTAAAAACATTGAATTGCTGTTTTTTAAAAACGCAATCATCAACTAGAAATCATGTTTTTGACAGGAAAGATTAAAAAATTACAAAGTGTGTGAGATAATAAAATTGATTTTTGGAACTTGTTTAGTTTCAATTTTTTCTCTATTGTAGAGAATTTAACAAAGGCGTCACTACGACTCCAATAACATTTCCATTCGCACAGTTAAAATTTAACATGAAACCGACATTGCAGTTGAGCGTCACAATGCCTTTCCCCGTCCACATCAAAAGCGAAATTTTCGAAAAGCCAAAAATCAAAGCTCATACATTTCTGTCAATTATTGAAGGCCGCGATAGAAACAAATTAAAACAAACAAAAGCGTTTGTGTACCAGAAGCGAAAATTAGCCGAAGCCGAACAAAAACAGGAGCAAAACGCGCAAAAATCGATTCATTACAAGCGGGCAAAGCCGCCGATATTTGCAGGGTTTGATTGGGCAGGTAGCCTAACTTGATTAGCGATTAGGGCGATTGTGACGCGAACTCAAAGGCGTAATTAGCAGCTCCACTGCGGGAAAAGTTTCGATTCGGTTACACGGCGGCGGCGACACCGCCCCCACATTGCACGTGTCGGAGCGAGACGGACGCTGGGGACGTCGCGACAGCTCCACGCGATGTTCGGCAACATATAATCACATGTTGTGCTTCACCGACTGCATATTACCATCGGCCGACGATTCTGCCCCTACAGAGGACCTTTTATAAAGGCCAATTTTGGTGTGAATGCGTTTATTAACTCGCCAGAAACCGCGAACCCTGTTAAAATTCATGTGTAGTGTGGATATTTTGTCACTTTTTTATTAAAATAAAATAAAAACCTCGAGCGGAGATGGACACAAAAATTACACTCGGCGATTTTATTTCATTTATTTAACTTGTGCTTCTTCCGCTCGCTTCACCAGCGACAATGATGGCTTATTCTTCAAATTCCAGCTACCTTAGACTTTCATTCATAACACAAGAAACGATAAATTCACTCATTCAACGCCTCCGGCCTAAAGTCGAAAGTCTTTGTCGCAAATGTCACCCCCTAAATAAATATTTGGAGATTCTTTCGATAATAAATCTCATTACACGTTGCGGTTCAATTCACCGGAAAAGAATTGAAATTCCTACTTCGCCACCTCACTTCAAAACTCTATTCTCAAAACTTTCTTTAATAGATTTTCGGACCTTACGCAACTCGGATACCTTCAACACTGCCTTGTTCCATTTTGATTTATTAATGTTTTTGTTGGATTCTTATGTGGTGTGTATATGGCTTTTTGGGGTTCATTCATCGTACGGCTGCAAGCGTGAGAATTTACACTACCCTCACGATTAATCAGATCATTACAAAATTTACGTCAAAAATACGGTATTTGCTAAACAATAAAATATTGAGACACTACTTCAGATTTAAATAAAATTTCTTTACATTATTTAATTTTATACAAATTTTATTAAGCGACACGATTACCTTTTTAAAATAAATGGTGTAGTCGGCGTCAACTTTTCACATGTAGACGTACACTGTTAATAAACCTTAAATAATACAATAAACAGTAAAAGTGAATTGGGTTTTTTAACTATATTGATAAATTTAAAAAGTCCACTTTATCAACTGGCAAAAATTTAGTGAATTATGCAAACTAGTATCGGATTTTTTTAATTGATGCTTGGCATTTAATGGCAAAACTGCTAGGTATAGACAATATTTTAAAATAACATTTTAAATATGGATAAACGGAAGTAATAAAACATTTAACCAAATATTTCATTCCAGAAATGTTTTATTTTTCTAAAAAAAGCAAAATTTTATTAGGTTGTATAATTTTGAAGTTATAGATTAATAAAAACAAAAAATGAGAGCAAAGAATGAAACTCATTACGAAAAAATTCTATAAGCGTGCGTCCGCTGCTTCCCTTGTTTGCCTTCGAGAAACGCCATAAAAGCTCATTTAAGCCCAAAAAGAGCTAAATAATAATTATTATGACAATACATCTAGCAAGAAAGAATAAATTAAAGTGTGACTTGGCGACTGCTCCCATGAACACTCCATTTGTATTCAGACGTGTCCCACTTTCTAAATTTACAGCCCTTGTAAAAATTCTCCACGCGACAGCTTACCTTCAAGGCCAAATATTTACCTTCCAATTTAACAGAATTTAACTTTGAACATTTCTTGTATAATTATGTAAAATCTAGTGTGAGATATGGCCCCTTCTTTCAATTTAGAACACTTCAGATGTAGTATAACACATATTGTTAATCAAATCACTTCACTGGGGTCATGTGTAGGGGAAACAGTAACATTAGGGGGTACATGCCGAAATGGGGAATCTACGACCCTTCGAACGACAAGAAAAGGTGTATACATAAGTGGGTTTATTGAAGATTTTCCGGCCTTTCGTCAATCAAAATCGAGATATTTTTACAAATGTGAGTAAATATTTGATTGGAGGATGATTTGTGAGAGTTTGTCGAGTCGTGGGGTGAGTTAACTCATTAAAATATGTTAAGGGATGATCCTACTTTGGATAAAAATTTGCATGGTCTTCTCGATTGTCATTAATATTTAACGTCCGTCTTTGCGCTCGCCTTTACTTATGCATGCTAGGCAGAACTTTGGGGGTGTTGTTACATTATCAAGGACGTCGCAGGATATTAGAGGGTGCGATATGATTGAGGGGGTGCACGCGACCCTTTCCCTAATGCCAAACTTACCAGACTCGGGTCAACAACATTATCGACACATCTTGACGGAAGTTGCCAACAATACAATTGACAATATTTGACAGAATTTCGCCAAATCGATCAAAATTTTCAGTAAAATGGGAGAGACTACAATAGTACAAGGTGTTGGTAAATGTCCGAAACTGCCATGGATGGTGGAATTTCACACAACAGCCGATGGAAAAATTTTCAACAATCAACTGGAAGCAGCCTTTGCGCCGAATCTTTTGGAGCATTTAGCGAGTCTTCAAGAGAAAAGTAAAGTGAGGAGAAAGAGGTTGACGCAATTTTCGGTTATAATCCCCCCGAGGATTTCAACTGAACATATTGAGGAGTTTTTAAAGGCAGGAATGACTGTGGCTCTTATCAGAATAGATTATTTTACTGTGGAAGAGATTGAAGAGACTGTGGCAATGATCAGGAATGTTGTGGACAAGTTTGGGAAAAAAATTGGGCGGATTTATCCCATTGCCATAGGTTTGGATATCTCAGAACAGGAAATATTGACCGGAAAGTTGCTAAAGCCTCTGAAAGAAATTGAACTGCAAAAAGGACAAACTACTAAAATAGTTGCCAAATCAGAATTTGCCAATCGGGTCAGCAAGGATTATATTTACGTCAATTATGAGAACATAGCAGATGTTGTTAAACCCGGCGATAGTGTTATTATTGGTGATGACAACATTCGTATGTCTGCTATTGAAGTAGCAAGAGATATTATCAATTGTATCATCGAGAAAGCAGGTCTACTCACCGATAATCTTTCCGTTAAATTACCCAACGTCCCGGTAACCTTACCCAAAACGAAATCTCACGAAAAGTTAACCCTAATCAAAGAAAAATGCGAAATTGATATTGTTTTTGTGGGTCCGGGTAAAATCGACATGATTAAAGAAGTTTTAGGCCCCAGTGTCCTCATCATTGCCAAAATAGAATACGCCTCTTCTGTCGATTTCTTTGAGACTTTGGTCAAAAAAGCCGATGGTTTTATAATCGACGGCGAGAAACTTATGGTAACGTCGAAAGAAAGAGTTTTTCTTGTTCAAAAATCAGTCATTGCTAATTGCAACAAGTTGGGCAAACCGGTTTTAGCTTCGATTAATTGTCACTCAGTGACGAAATCGATAGTTAACGATATTGCCAACACTGTAATCGACGGAATCGACGGTTTGTTGCTACCACCCGATCCCGATTTGATCGAATCAGTTTCGTTGATTTGTAAAGCGGCCGAAGGAGCGGTTTATCAAAAACAACTTTTCGATGATTTGGTTAGTCTAAAACCGCCACCGATTGAACCGATTATCTCAATATCAATATCAGCCGTTGAAGCTTCTTTCAAAAGCAACGCTGCTGCTATTATTTTGATAACAACAACAGGGAGGTCAGCGAAATTGATTTCGTCGTTTAGACCCAGATGTCCAGTTATCGCCCTGACCCGATTTGGCCGAATCGCTAAACAGCTTATGATTTATAAAGGAGTGATTCCGATTTTTTACGTGCAAAACTCTGGAGACACGTTTAAAAAGAATGTCGAGAAGATGATTCAATTAGGAATGACGTTTGGTAAAATCAACGGTTATATCAGGATGGGTGATGCAGTTGTTGTTGTTTTTGGTACACGAAATAATGTTGGTTTCAAAAATTGCATGGAAGTTGTGTTTGCGTCTGAATACGATACAAAACCCGACGAAGACGACTCGTATTAATAAATTGTTTTGAACTTTTCTAGCTTTTAATTTAGTGGAAAAGGTCACATGTCAAGTTAACGTTTCAATCAGAGAACCCTTGGTGCAGTTACGTCAACCACAATAAAATTCCTAAACCGTGACAAACCTGGTTACCATTATCATTCATATTTTAATATGGGGATGACATATGTGACGTGGGAAATTTGTCAAGTCTAACAAGTATATCTAAAAACGAGCGATTTTATTTAATTTCTCTTAAAACCAATGAATAGTCGTCAAACTAACAAAAAAAACGATATTTCAATGTCTTTTGTCGCATTTCAAAAGAAAGTAAAACTGGAAATAATCAATTCATTTCAGACTTTAAAACAGAATAAGTGAATCCGTCAACAGTCCATCACTGCTTTATTGTGACAACTTGGACTAGTTTAACCTACTTTCAAACCAACTTTACGACTCATCCCAGCCAAAAGTGTCCTAAATTCTGGTTTATGGTTGACCTAATGAAATAGAAATTTTCCCGAAACTGTCAAGACAGCCATAAATCTAGTTTCGTTTTCAATAGTTTGATTTTACGATTTAATTGGTCGCTACTGAGAACTTGCCCTTTTGGAATTCTGACGTTTCACTTTTATTAATAAAAGTAAATACAAAACAAAAAATTGATCAGTTCAACTAGAAATCAGATAAACCTGCTAAACATCACACTGTTAACAACATGAAAAAAAAGTATTGCAAATAACAATAAAAGTTAATTAAGTGGTAGGTAAAAATTTCAAATTCGAGTCTTCGAATTAAAATTTAATAAAACTTGATTAAAATGGGAAACTAAAATTGAAGGCCACTTAAAAAAAAGTTACTGTTTTTTTTTAATTTAAACCTTAATTAAAATAGTTATTTATTCTACGAGTTTGAATGTAAATCGGACACATTATTTCACCGAGTGGATTTTTAAACCACAAGTGTAATGAGTGGTTTATCATCATCCACGAAACAGTTCGAAACCGTAAATTTTGACAGTGTCGAAGAATAAATAATATTTACGATTTAGTCAACTTGTTTGTAAAGAGGTCTTATATTGCATTAAAAATGTTATATTCCAATTATCACATTCTGAATTTTAAACTTCGAAAAAAATTATGCGAGTCATTGGTGCTTTCGAACCTTAAGTATGGTTTCATTAAATATAAATTACAAAAAATACAAAATTCGTGCTCTCGTTTTATTTACAAATTACTAAAATTTGACCATGTATCTCAAAAAATAAAAGAACTTGGTTGGTTGCCGGTAGACCAAATATACAATTATTTCTTCTCAGTGTTCATATATAAAATGTTTATTACTGCTTTACCAACCTACCTCCGTGAAATATTTCATTCGAGAAAAAGTTGTCATCAGGTTTCTGTTCGTAATATTGCTGACCTGTCATTACCAAAGTTTAAAAAAGCAATATTTAAAAGATCTCTCTCTTACAATATAATAAAGTTATATAATTTTTCTTATTTGTTTAAAGAAAAACTTTCAGTAAACAATTTTCGCAAAAAGATAAAAATACATTTTTTGAACTTCTAGTTTTTTACTTTTGCTTTTTGTTATTTTCTTATTGTTTTAATTCCTGTTATACTTAAGTAGTTTTTCTTAATTTTAGTTAAACTGTAATGCAATTTTTCATTTTTCTTTGTTTCTTTTTGTTTTGTTTAGGGGGTTAAGTATGAATAGCAGTTATTTAAATTAGCGTTCAAAGAATTAAAGTATCAGTCTACATTGTACAAGTTGGTTTAGATAGCGTTTAAAATTTGTTATTACAAAAACTTTTTATCAGATTTTAAAATGTAGTGCGGAAACCAACTGTTTCACAAAAAACGCTCTTACTTATTTTGGATCATTATTTAGTACCGTGACGTCATCATCCGTCAGAATATCTTTATTAAATTTCTCGTCATTTAGCATAACAATCAGGGCGACCGTCGGTGCCTAATAACCACCCACCCCTAAAAAATCTGGTCCGGTATTTAATATGCGCTGACTAAAAATATAGATCGAGCTTCTGTTGTGTTTGATTACTGCAAGGGCTATATCTCGAATCAGACAATCTCTATTCAGATGTAGTCCCCCATTTCGCTCTCATTGTGCACATGAGTCACCCCGTGAGACCGGAGTCGGTGGTGGATTTAGGGCGCGTGGACGTTCGCCCCAGGGCAGGCCGCAACGTTCCCACTGAGCAACCACGTCGGCCAAGACCGGGTACCGAAGGCCTACCATCGAGGGTGAACAATGCTTTCATCCCCTTCCACTCGAGGGCACGACGAAACAATGAAATATTGCAATCGAAAAGGATTTTTCCGATTCACACTGACACATAATGGAAAATTAAAATCACTGATATTTTTCACTATTTAAGGAAATTTTCCGGAAAAGTGGAATTCTGGCGGCGCCTTTGAACCTTCATTTCTTATTAATGCAGGTCTCTAAGAAGCTACCTACTGGGAGACCGTGAATACCGAAAGAGTTAATCCAATTTGTTGCTTTTGCAGATTTGAGTAAACTACCCAAACACCCGCCCAGATTAAACAAACACCGAAATACGGAATCCTCTAGGTAAAAATGACAGGTAAAATGTCATTGTTTGCGCTTATCCAACCTCCGAGAACGTGATATGGGTAATTCTCTTCGTAATGGCTTATCTTGAACGGAATTACATGTAGTTGAAGGGCATTATACAAGCATCTTAATAGACACCTTAGGCTATCTAAGAGTCATAGGGACCCTCGGTTAGTAAGTTTGCCGTTACCGCCCTTCATAACTACTCTACTCAACTAATCAAGATCTTATTGCATCATCGTTGTTCCCTTATTGCATTTCGACCGTTAATAGACCGTATCTGTTTAATCGAACACCAAACTTGAAATCTAGTTCTAACAGAATCACTTTCACTTTTTTATGAAAAGGGTTAGTTCATGGAAACTAACGGCTTGCACAATTTTGGATGACTTTTTATTGAGGGAGGCAAAAAATACAGTTTTTTATACGACTGACTTTTATTATTTGATTGCTTGAACGGTAAACATTTTGGAATTTTTTAAACCGCAATAGGGGGGCTGTAAAGCGCTATTTTATAACCACTACCCACCTAACTGTCTTTTACAGCTCTTTTTAAAGTGACATTTTTTAATGCAATTTTGACATAGGAAAAGGGCTCAGTTGCGTGTTTAAGTGTTTTTTATAAGAAAGTAGGTTTGAATCGCTGGGTCTTTATTGTCATTTTCAAGAACGTTTTAATGTTTGCTGAGAAAAGCAAAACCTTTCGACGGTTTTAAAGTCACAGTTGCTAAAAAATATCTATAATCAGTAATGAAACATTCTTTAAATTTTGATCTTCATTAAAGAAACTTGTATCAATGAAATAAAAAGAACCTACTACATAGTTTGCCTCTTTCATGTAAAATTGTAACATAAAATTTGTTGCGTTTTTTTTTGTCAAAGGAAAGAGTAATTGCAGTGTCACAATTTTTTAATTTTTTTTTAGCTTTAGAGGAAAGCGGGTGTATTTTATGTTTTGGTTTTGGTACTAAATTCAAATCTAAAATCTGATTTTGAGTAAATCGCACTTGACGGTACGAATGTTTTCATCGGTTCATACGTTTCTGTTTCAAAAATAGTAATAGTACAGTTTTTGCGACGAATTGTTGAATAGCAGATAAGTCCACAAAAACGTTTTAGGTACGTATTACAAACAACATTTTTTTGTTAAAGCTCCCCAAACACGAACTCACACCTCTTTTAATTAAAAAAAAATCGCCACCATAGTAACCAAATTGACATTTTCGTCCGGAGAAACCTAAAATACCAATTTTACGTATTATTTTATTGAGTCCTTAAAAGACTCATTTTAGGAACTCAAATGAGTCCCTAAAACAGCTATTTTCGGGAGCGTATACAAAAAAAGTTAATTTTCTATTTTTATTATTTTTTTCAGGCAAAATTCAAAAAAAACTGTTTGTTCCTACCTTTTCGTTTAATAACGTTTTTTTCAAGTTTTGTACCACCTACAAAAATTTGATTTCATTGGAGTTAACAGTGCTTTTCTTCTCTTCCACGTATGTATTTATATTTTTGAGTATTAAACTATCAAATTCGGGTTAAGATTTTAATAATTTTCATTTTTAATTAATTTTAATACATCAGCTAAATGCTACTACACCACCTATTCATGATCTTGTGTCTCAAAAAAAAAGTACCAAAAAAAAAAACTGTTGGAAACACGCCAAAAACAATTTTTAAAATTTCAATTAGAATTTTTTCAAAATCCCCCACTGAAGATTTTAAATTTACAGTGCCCCAAAAAACATTAATACATACATACATCCCCTTTTATTTGAGGGAGAATTTTGAACTCTTATTTAAGAAATTATTATAATCATCAAGATGTTGTTTCAATTAAAAATTACCATTTTGTTGAGAGTGTACCTTCGTCACCCTGAACAAAATTTTCTGTCAAACAAGTGAAATATGGTTTTATGTAATATTTCAATTTAATATATGTATTGGATGAATCTGGCGAATGTAAATTTTTCTTTTTGTCAAAAATGCCTGGCTTATTAAATCGTGCCGGTGCAAATGGAAAACCCGAATCGAATAACCTCTCCACCACTTCAATAAATTGGTTATGTCTTCTTTGAGTTGGATAATAGAAGCACTCCTGGCTGCGGGCAAATAAATAAAATTTTTGCATCTCGTCGAATTCGTGGTTTGAATATTAGAACGCAAGCATCGTCGCTGAGTATAAAAGAGTCGAGGCTTTTAGACGAGAATCAATTATCTACTTGCGGGGATTTTCTTAAGCGTCTTGTTTTGTCTTCGGATCGGCCCCTTGTCAAGCCGTAATAAATCCGGGGATATAAGTGGATGAAACGGCTGTTTAACAAATTAGCTACTTATCACTTGAAAGAGTTTGCCGCCAACGATGCTGCCGCCGGCTTCCGGCTTTCGAACAAATGAAGGGTTCGCTTCGTTTCCCG